ACCCACCGCCCCGGGTCGCGCACACAGCAGGCCCGATCCCGGGGTTGGGGCACTGCCCCAGTTTGTGCACACGACAGGCCCAATCCTGGGGTTGGAGCGCCGTCCCGGGTCGCGCACATGGCAGGCCCAATCCCGGGGTTGGGGCGGGCGGCGGATGGCACTGCCCCGCCCTGCCTGCAGTATGCAAATTTAATGGCCATCTTTGTTGGGTTAATTTGCATACTCTTCTGATTGGCTGATGGGCATAGTGAAGGTATGGTCAATTAGCATCTTTGTCTTTTATTCGTGTAGATTGTCTTGAGCATCACCATCAATAAGTACTGTAATTTTATAAAGCATTTTTGTGGCTTAAGCTAACATTTAGGTACCAAAAAAAAAATCAGAGTTAGTACCTTGTACAATAGCCTGCCTGGATTTAGAAAGTCCATCTTCTCAAGAGCTTCTTTCCTTGGACATAGTACACTTAAGCAGAGTACACACTCCATTTTCCAAGGATGTGTTCAGGAAACCCATCATAGTAAAAAATATTGTGGATACACTTGTCAAGAATCCCTAATGATATCTTCAGGTTTTTGCCATAACCTCATGTCTATAGTTTATAGGTACACTGGCTGTATCTTGGTTTCCATAATAAATGATAGTTGACTTTCTTACAATAGGTGGATGTTAAGATAATTCCAGATAAGGAGATAATGGGGTTAATCCCTTGTCTCATCACTTAGCATTACTACACTGAAGTTGGAACTGTTACTTTCACAGTTAAATGTAGACTTCTATTCTGGCCAGAGAGCCTAACCATTCCACAAATACTGTGCTAGGATCTGGGTGGTAACTCAATGGATAGAAGTCACTGTGCAGTTCCTATGTCAGGCCATGTGCATTTTGTATATATTCCATTATTTTGGTAAATGTTTTACGTAGGTAACTATTACTGTCCCTATATTACAAATGAAAGAAGCATAGACCTTTTCCAAGGTCACAGAGCTAGTAAGATACAATCCCTGCCTTCATAGAACAGTGTGTAATATTTCAAGTTCCAAATAACTTACAAAGTAATATAAGGCAGAGAATAAGAACAAAGTGACTATAAGATTAATCAGTTTTAGGTCTTATTAAATAAAATCTCACACTTTAGAACAATGTTTCAGCCAAACATTTAATATCACTACTGCCTTTCAATGACAGTTCTAAACAATGACAATTGTAAATATTTACTTTATATTGTTTATTAATTCAAGAAAATTTTGAAAGTACACTCTTGTTCTTTATGCTTGGTTGTCTATCTTGAGAGCAAAATTATTAATGTGTTTGACTTCTTTCAAGATCAAAGTAGACTGATTCTTAAATTTAAATTCTTAAAAATTTGAGCTGCATTTTTATTGATATGCATTGTTTCTCTTTCCTAGCGATTGCTTTCTCGGTGGAGGGGTGAGGGTAATGCTATATTTTGGTTAACATTTTTTAAATTATTTCAAAGAATAAACTAACATTTCTCCCCAAAAGTCTGGGAAGTATATTCCTTTGAATAAAGAAAACTTAATTTCAGGATCTTTTAGGATAAGTGAAAATTTTAGTAGTGTTAGAAGTCTTCATCTTTAAACATATCTTCCTAAAAGATTCTAAGTGAACATAGTTGCATGGCTAGTGTGAAATAATAAAGTCAACTATTTTCTGTTATAACAGACATAAAAATAACAGTGGAAAACACAGTTTTCCCTACACTTGTGTAATATGTAACCTTGTTAAAACCAGGTATAATATGTGAAGAAGATAATAGGAAAAGGATAAGAAAGTTAAACATTTCTTTGGCTTGACTTTTTTTAAACTACCATTTTTCACATTTTTCACTGATAAAACTTGTCTGGTCATTTTCCACACTATTTCAATAGGACTCTATATTATTATACAGCACCCAAAAGTATAAAGTGAAATTTACTATTTTAAAAGTGAAATTTGGGTTATTTTGTTTATAGTTTGTTCAGAGAGATTAAAATGTTTACTTGCTGCTCTTTTTGTTTTTATCATTACTGGAACTACTACTGCTAGAACTAGTTGACCTAAAAGTGCTGCCAGATGGTGAAGAAGAGGGTGGGAAGGTTAGCTCTAATATGTTCAGCGAAGTCTGAGAAGCAGAACTCCTAGACGACCTAGAAGAAAATACAAAGTTATTATAAATTTAATTCAAAATTTATACTTTAATAAAGACCCCCTCATTAATAGTGAAAGATATCATAATCACACAACTAAAGAGAGCAAAAAGTTTTAATAGTATTAATAATAAATTTTAAAGCATGACCTTTAATATCAAGAAATTAGTTTTTTTAAGGAAAAGGTAATGAACATAATAGCTTCAAACCAGTAAAAAAAATAGTTTAACAAATAAAAATTATAAAGAAAAATGTTTTCAACTATAATTAACTTAAAGATTTGCAGAATTCATTAAACAAAAGGTAACAAAAAGGCATGGGCATATGGGTGCTGGCAAAGTGAGTAAATGATAGGTTATAGAAGAGAAGAAAGTGAGTGTCCTGGTGGGATCATTTGAAAATCATTACTAGCTACATAATTCTGAAATGCTAAGTTTAAAAATATAGCCCTGACGGATGTGGCTTAGTGGTTAGAGCACCGGCCTGTACACTGGAGGGTCTCAGATTTGATCCCTGGCCCTGGTTGGGGCATGTGCAGGAGGCAACCGATCAGTGTGTCTCTCTCACCTCCCTCCTTTCCACTCTAAAAAAATCTGTAAAAAATATCCTCTGGTGAGAATTTACAAAATATATTTTTGTATATAATTGTAAATTACATGCATGTGGCTGGGTAACTCAGTTGGTTAAAGTGTCTCATACACCAAAAGGTGGCATGCTTGATTCCTGGTCAGGGCACATACCTAGGTTGCAAGAGGCATCTAGTCATTTCTCTTCTTCTCAAATCAATAAAGATACCCTCAGGTGAGAAATTATATATATATATATAATGTTTTATGACAGTATAGGGATGTTCAAGTGGCTGCCCACCAGGTTTATGTAAAAACAGTTCTTTTTATTTAAACCCCACTTTTTAGGACATTCCTTTGTCTTTGTGTAATCCCTACATGGACTAATGAAAACTAAGTGGCTGCTGAAGGTAGGAGATTGGAAATTTAAAAGTTAGGATCATTGTTAATTTTTATTTTGTCAGCAAAGCATAAGAGTGTTGATTGAACATCCCTGATGATAGAATTCTAGATAACACTAAACTGAAAGTAAAGAGTAATTTCCTGTTTAGCAAATTAAATCAACACAAATCAAATCCTGAGTATTTAAAATTTTGCAGTGTGGTTTTAATAATATACTTCATATCTCTACATCTAAGTTGCCTCTAAAATTTCACCCTGCTCTACCCTACTGAAATAGCAGGTAGTCACAAAGCACTCTGCAGTAATGGAAAGAGGTTGGAAAGCAAGTTGCTCTGCTGGCTGTGCCTGCATCTGTGACACTGACCTCGGCAGGTGGGTGAGGAGGAGAGCACTGGCAGATCCAACCGCTGTGGCAATGTGGGAGTGGCTGGGTGCACGGAGGACGTGGTGGTTTGACCTTCCACTTACCTTAGTGACAGTAGTGAAGCCTGTGAAGGAGATCTCTGGTGCCCGTGTTTGGTACTAGCTGTAGGGAGTTCCAGACCTTTCTGAAAGTACATTCAATAGCAGTCATTACTACCACTGCGTTTTAGAAGAATATTTGTGATTAGATTTCACTCTGATGAATGCCATAGATTATTTTCATGAAGTGTTTAAGAAACACTTCTAACTAGAAGGTACAGTGACTACCTGTTGAAAGTATGTTTGAAGGATAATGTGGATCTCGGCATTTGCTGTGACATCAGCTAGCATTCCATCAATGACCTGGTGAAACTGTTTCAGTTCGCGAAGTTTGATGTCTCTTTCTTCTAGTGTTTCCTCTTTTGTTTCTTTCAAAAGACGGATCTCTTTGATGAGTTTTGCACACTGTTGGTCAACAATAGTCAATTATTACTTAAACTTGTTTTCCAGAACTTAATGTTTTTTCATGGATGAAAGGATTTGGGTTTACCATTTGGAACTTCAAAAAAATGTAAATATGACAGGTCAGATTTTTTTAAAAATATCAATACCTGTTTAGTTACTCTCTCTAATTTTGGCTTCTGCTCCTCAATTTCTTTACTTAGTTGAAGTGAATAAGCCTGCTTCTCTGATAATTTTTCTTTGCCATTATGTGTTAAATGTTCTATAATTTCTAACGTATTTCCCATGGTCTGCAGAAAAAAAAATTATTAAAATATTTATTAATTAGAATCAAAAGTAACATAACTTGCTATTTGTCAAATATTCATTTAATCTTGATTCATTTACTTTTGTATATAACATATTCTGCTGGTAAATAACATATATAATGACTTTCTAACTAAATTTTGTATGTAATTCTACTGGAAAGTATTTTTATGGTACTTTGAAAATTAAATAATTTAATAACTATTGAAAACATGCATGCAGTTTTCAGAGATTCACAATTCATCTATTCCTTCAACTTTATTAGCAAAATAAAAAATCTGAATTGTATGTAGAGCCTGCTTACCAAGCACATTGTTTTCTCTTTCAGTAATGTGCTTTAGCACCTTCTGTGTACTAGATTATTTTTATCTTTTGAATTTTTGTTTTATGAAACAATCTTTAAGTAATTAAATGAAAATAAGAGTACATTAAATAAAAGATAGAGGAATAGATCATAATTAACTAGCAATGAATGATTCAACAACTAACAAGTGATGATTCAGAGTCCATCCTGTGTTTAACACAGGGATTTTAGCTATTTTAATGCTTTTAATCACTTTTTTCCTCATTTTAATGAGACATCTCATCTATTTCTCTAAAAAAAATTATGGGGTAAGAAAATAGACATAATATTAGTTTATTTCTACTAAGGGCTTATTACTAAAGCCTGTAGAATTACCTGGATGTCTTCCTGTAGCTCTCTAATTTGTCTTTGTTTGTATCTGTATTTTTCATCAGCAGCTCTTTTCTGTTCTTCTAGTTGGATTTTTTGTCCATACTCATCACCTAAAATTTAGGCAATTTGTAGTTTAAATTTTTAAGATGTTCTGTAGAAATCAATCTTAAAATCTTACGTATATTAAATTTCTAACATTTCTTCTTATGAAAGGTTAAATTCCTATGTCTACTTGTTGAAAAACAATATGGGCATATGTAGCAGCCACTCTTGTTTAGTCAATACAGGGAAGCTAATGTGCTATTTTCTGTGGATTTGAAATTAATCCCCTAGAGAAGTGATATGTTGTGTCATTAGAACTACTAGTAATAATGGAAATAACACTTTGGCACTTATTTTAAAAGGGGGTGGTTTTTCTGACTCAATCAAACAAGTTCACTTTTGTTTGCCATTGCTCAGTGTTCCTTTTTTAAAAACAAATAACTACAGTTTTCATTGCATATATTCATTAAAATGTTAACTCCTACATACTAGATGGTGTCACTTTTTTAAAAGATTGTTTGAAATTGTTGTTACAACTATTCAGCACTTGTAAGGTGTTTTCTAGAGCATAGATTTCTTTTTCAGCTTTGTTGATCTTAGCATCCAAACTGTCACCTTCCTTTTGAAGTTCTTCTTTTTCTTGAGCAGCCTGTAAAAACAGAATAGAAAGACTAAATAATAGTATTTCTCAGGGGGAAGAAGGATTGTTTTTAGGGCAGATCATAGTTAACTCACAACAATACCAATTTGCCTTGAGGTCCATATAAAGCACCATTTATTTCTTTCATTTGATTTATAGAAGAGCAAATCCTCAAGGCCTACAAAATATAGCACATAGGATACAAAACAGTAATGGAAACACAGTAACTAACCAAAGCTTACATTAAACTCGCCAACAAAAATTACCAAAATGTCAAGCAGGTATAAACTTCACTGGGAAGGGAAAGAGTTAACTAGAAGGGGGTTTCAAAGTAGATATTAAATAGAATATATTTCTGGCCTGAAAGAAACTTAGGAACACTTTCTCCTTTTATATCATAGGAGTAAAAAAGAGGTGAGACAGGGCACACCCAGAAAAGTAAATGCTTGTCATTTCCACGCCAGTTGTAGTTATATGTGTTAATAGAAATAGTATTTCAACATTTTTGAGCAGTTAGTAATGTTAAAGTTAGAGAAAGTACTCATTTTAGTAGCACAAACTTAATTTGAAACACTATAGAGGTTAGAATGGCACCTACGCCAAGAATGACATGCAAATTTGTGAAGTGTTCCGTATTTTCAAAAGGAAAAATATTGCATTGCATGATTCCACTTACATGAAGTACCTAGAGTAGTCAAATTCATGGAGACTTAGAGTAGAATGGTGAATGCCAGGGTTTGGTGTAGGGGGAAATGGGAAATTACTGTTATATGAGTACAGTTTCAGTTTTAGAAGGTGAAAACAGTCTGGAGATTGGTAATGGTGTTAGTTGCACAACAATGTGAATGTAATACCACTGTACACTTAAAATTGTTAAATGGCAAGTTTTATGTATTTTACCACATTTTAATTTTTTTAATTAGAGAAAGATTATTGTGATAAATGTGGGTAGAGAAAATGAAGTTTACTAATTGCTGAAAACCAGAAATTCCTCAGTGAGTGGACATATTCAGTGACTTTTTCCATCGTACCTCTGTCACAGCCAGGCTCTCTAGAGCTGTACCCTAATAATTCCAAAAGAACTGCTCCAGGTAAGGGTTACCAGGGCATGTATATATATTTAAAAGTACTCAAACCCATTCTTAGTAAAAAATGGTTAATTTACTCAGTCCCTAGGTGTGTGTATTTAAACCAGAAGATGGTCATTGGAAAAAAATGTTTGGTAATGTTTCAATTTTTAATGTTTTCTCTGATATTTGTTTTATTCTACCAAAAATTATGTATAACTACATATTAGTACATAATAAAATAGTTCATAATAAAAAATAATAGCAAGTAGTACATAGTCACAAAGCTTAGCAAAAAAATAAAGTTTTTAGATAAATTATATCTAATTCCTTTAAGTCAAGTCTAGAATTGGCAATGATTCATTCAAAATACAGTGTAGTGTGAGAGCTAGAACAAATCAAAACAGCTAGAATTTAGTTGCAAATGTCCTACTAGTGAGCTGAATAACATTAAATAATTCCCTTCTCTTGAGTTCAGTTTATTTGTCAAATGAAGGGGTTGAATTTGTTCATTTATACAGATTTCTTATTTAATTCCACATATAACTTAAACGTCTGAAACTCTGATCCCATTTGCCTCTAAATCAAGCTTATCTAATGTATACCTTTTATGCTGGATTGGAAAAACTGATATTTGGAAGAAATTTTTATGCATTTATGTCAACATTTTTAACATTTTCCTAATTTTACTGGACAGTTTCATTAAATTGTCAGAATTGAACTGCCTTACAAAAAGACTAAGAGGAACTTAAATATGAGATTTGAAAGATGATAGTCCTTCATTGGTTACTGATCATACTTTTCACTCTAGCTCTTAAGAGTCAGATACTATAACGTGCCAGGGTGGGTAAAAGGAAGAGCAAAACCATGTGTGCCCCATAGGCAAGAACCTATTGCAGGACCAAAAATAAGGGCAATGGATTGAATTGTTTCCCCTAAAACAGATTTGAAGTCCTAACCTCCAGTACTTAAAAATGTGACCTTATTTGGGAAAAAATAGGGTCTTTGCAAATGTAGTCAAGTTACCATGAGGTCATGAAGGTGGTCCCTAATTCATACGATTGGTGTCCTAATAAAAATGGGGTATTTGGACACAGATACAGACATTCTTAGGGAAGACTGACGAGAGGGCACCATGTGAAAATGACAGAGATCATGGTGATGCTTCCAGAAGCCAAGGAACACCAACGATTGCCAGCAGACATGTAAACATTCTCCCTCAGCCTTTAGAAGGCACCAACCATATTGGTATCTTTATTTCAGACTTCTAGCCTCAGAACTGGAGACCATAAAACTGCCTTTGTCATACTTGTTATGGCAACTCTAGCAAACTTAATACAAGGGCTCAGCAAACTGCATATCCTGGGTGAGACAGTACATATTTTAGGCTTTATGGACCATGACATCTCTGTTAAAACTACTTGTACTTAATACACTGCTATTGTAGTATGAATGCAGCCATAGACAAGAGGTGATGTATTATGTGTACCGCACAAATGTTGGGCAGCATTTGGCTCAAAGCCATGCATACCCCTGCAATACACCACGCAGGACACCCAACAGTGGTAAGCATTGTGACCAAATTCCTCTTCCATCAATGCTGTAAACATATGTATATGTGCCCATCAGGAAAGATCAACCTGAAGGATATAAGGAAGGAAGAGAATCTTGATATGACTAAATTAACATTCCTATATCTACCACATTCCAAAACAAAAGTGACAGTTCTAATTGGCAAGTTTAAGTTTTTTACAGTGGTAAACTGCTAAAGTATTTTCAAAGAGTTAAAAAATTCTCAAATATAAAATGAACATGTCAAAGATTTTATTCAACTCATTAATGAAAGAACCCGTAAGATGTTAGACAAGTTCAAAGGGAGAAGTGGAACAGTTTTAATATACACAAATGCTGAAATAAATTTGCCTATATATGAAACTATACCCTGTAGGGCAATAAAATGTAATGCTTGGGTTATCTTTCCTATAGAGTTTAATCAGTTGTATTTCTACTAGCCAAGATTCATTTGCATTGTGGACAACTCTCAGTTTCCTACAAGTTAACATCTGTCCCTACAGAGTTATAAAGTAGCTTAGTCAATAGAAATCTGTTGAAGGTGTACCTTCCTACAGAATCAAATAACCCTGGAGGGCCCGCTAGAAAATGCCAAGTCTGGTGTCGCCACGCGGTGGCATCACTGCACACCTACAGACTGCTTTTCCCATTTTCAGGCAATGGATAATTTTTCTCAACATAAGACACATTGAGTATAGTTATAAAGAAATGTTTCATTTTTACACATCCGGTACATGTGAAGTGTTATGCATAAAACATGTAAGGATGCTACACAAAGAAAAATGGGAATAAGATAGCAGACAACTCTCAACCATCAGAAAGAACAGCAGATTCACCTGTTCATTTGTCCCCCACCTAATATGAAGGGACAGCCCCTCTTACTCTCTGGATCTCTGCCATACCAGGACTGCAATGGTAAATTTGGGTATAAGATTTCAGAAGTGGTGTAACTCCAGGCGATGGTAAGGTCTAGAGGAGTGATGGTAGATTTTAGGGTAAAAAAATTATGAATTTTGAATAAATGAGGGGAAACAATAGGATGCAAAGATGCCAAAAAAAAAAAAAGTGTCAAACAGTATTCTAGAACTCTTTGACTCATGGACTGGAGGAGTATAAAACTAATAGAGCTTCAGTATTTCAATTAGCAACTAATGCTTTATGGCCCCAATTAAGTGCAATGGATCCTAGACTGCTATGAAATTTGAAATTTCATGGGAAAAAAATGCCATTTTGGTTGTTAACAAAGAAAGGATACTTCTTTCTATCACAACAATAAATTGATCACGATTACCTTTATTACATAATAGGCCTGTGTTTTCTCCTCTTCTCCTTCAGGAGGCAGCATAACAACAGTAAGAATTTCATATCTGTTCTTCAGCTTATCAATTTTACTTAGCCGCTCATGAAACTCAGCACTAATATGGAAAGAAAAGAAAAATTAAACACTGGAAAACAAATACTATTTTTAAAAGAACTATATTGTTCTCATGGAAGACAGCTGTATTTGGATTACTACTGTACTCAGATTAAATGTTTTCACTTTTATAATTCAGTGTGAAGGGTCTCAGATTTTACCCTATTTGAAAGATAACAAGTGCCACAGTTTCATGGATGCTAGCAGAGTGGAGGGGTAAATGGGGAGTTAATGCTTAATGGATATAGTTTCAGTTTTACAAGATGAAAAAGTTCTGAAGATCTGTTGCACAACAATGTGAATATACTTAACATTACTGAGCTGTGTGTTGAAATATGGTTAAGATGCTAAGTTTTATGTGTTTTTTACCAAAAAAAAAAAAAATTTAAGATAGTCTAGGATAGTTAGTGTCCCTCCTGACAAAGCTTGCAGAAATATGAGAAATCCATGGTTTAGATTCCTAAATCTGCTGGTTAAATTTTTCCTTTTATTCCAGTAAATTTACATTTTATGAACTATTTTTAACTTATAACAATACTAATAACAATCATATATGCATGGAGGGTGACACATTTGCCTACTACAACCACATGAAAGTGGCCACCCAACCATGCTGAAAGGAAATCTGCAGTTTTCCTACTCCTAAAGAAAATTGATGGTAAAACATTAATATCATAAGTTACAATTTGCTTATTTTTAGGTATTACTCTTGTTTCAACAGAAAATATTTATTCATCCTTTATCCTATCTAATAATAGAGAAACATGGTAATTAACCGTACCTTCGCTACCCTTCCCATTGGCTAATCAGGGCGATATGCAAATTAACTGCCAGCCAAGATGGCGGCCGGCAGCCAGGCATCTTGAAGCTAACAGGAGGCTTGCTTGCTCCAGTGACAGAGGAAGCCAACGTTCCCCGCCTGCTGCTGCCGGCCTCTGAGCTTGCAGTTTAAGAAACATTGTTACAAATATAGAAGCTAAACAAAACCCCAGTAACCTGCTTTCAACCAGCCGGGATCTCAGAGCTGGAGTTGAAACAGTGTTTCGATTATAGAACCCAAACAAACCAGATACCTGCTTTCAGCAGCCGAGGCCTCAGAGCTGGAGCCAAGCCTCAGAGCTAAAGCTGGCCCAGAATAAAAAA